CGGTCGTCCGCATGCCACGAAGTGAAGTGTCCGAACGTCATAGGGCGGGAAGCTGGGTGTGGGTGGTGGCGAAGAGTCGTTTGGAAATTTGGTAGAGCTTGAACCGGCCCCCCCACAAAGTGGGGGTATTGCCCGCCTCCTATGAAAACCCTGGCACTGGTGAGAACGGAGTGTCCCCACGTGCTAGTAATTGTTGTTGTTGTTGTTGTTGTTTGTTGTCGTCGTCCCCCTCCCGACCCACCCGCGACCCACCCCGCGCCACCCCGCAACCCACCCCGCGACCCACCCCGCGACCCACCCCGCGACCCACCCGCAACCCAACCCGCGACCCACCCGCGACCCCGCACGCGACCCACCCGCGACCGGCCTGCGACCCACCCGCGACGCACCCAGCGACCCACTCGCGACCAAACCCCCGACCCATCCGCGACCAACCCGCGACCCACCCGCGACCCACTTGCGACCCATCCGCGACCCACCCCGCGACCTACCCACGACCGATCCACATTGGTTTGAAGGAAAGATCGGCGCCTGCGGCGGACTCGATGTATAATCTGTGAAACTTTGGCGCCTGCGGCGGGCTTCTCCAGAGTTTTGCAGGCTGCCAACGTCCCCGCCGCCATCTCACTCTTATCCGCACCTGCGGGGCGCTACGTAACTATTACTACTACTACTACTACTACTACTACTACTACTACTACTACTACTACTACTACTACTACTACTACTACTACTACGACTACGACTACGACTACGACTACGACTACGACTACGACTACTACTACTACTACTACGACTACTACTACTACTACTATTACTACTACTACTACTACTACTACTACTACTACTACAACGACGACTACTACTACTACTACTACCACTACCACTACCACTACTACTACTACTACTACAACTACTACTACTACTACTACTACTATTACTCCTACTACTACTACTACTACAACTATTACTACTACTACTACTATTACTACGACTACTACTACTACTACTACTACTACTACTATTGCGACGACTACTACTACTACTACTACCACCACTACTACTACTACTACTACTACTACTACTACTGCGACGACGACTACTACTACTACTTCTACTACTACTACTTCTACTACCACTACTACTACTACTACCACTACTACTACTACTACTACTACGACTACTACTATTACTTCTACTACTACTACTACTACTATACCACTACTACTACTACTACTACTACCACTACTACTACTACCACTACCACTACTACGACGACGACGACGATGACGACGACTACGACTAGTACTACTACTTCTACGACTACTACTATTACTACGACGGCTACTACGACTACTACTACTACTACTACTACTACCACTACTACTTTTACTATTACTTTTACTACTACTACTACTACTACGACGACGAGTGCGACTACGACATCTTTTTTTAACTATTACTACGACCAGTACTACGTTGATTACTACCTGTCCTGCTACTAGTACGACGACGCCCACGACTACTGCTACTACTATTTTTCAGGAGTGCACAACAACTACTACGAATAAGTAGTACTACGTCTCGTACTGCTGCAACTCATGTTTCGTACTACTACTCTTTCTACAGCTACTGCTACTACTATTACTACTACTACTACCCTCCTGCTACTACTGCGACCGCTAGTAGTACTACTACTACTACTACTACAACTACTGCTACTACTACTACTACTACTACTACGACGGCTACCATTACGATTTCTAGTATTACTACTGCGATTCTGATTTCTACGAGTACTACAACTACCACTAGGACTCCTACTGCTACTACTACTACTACGACGACGACTACTACTACTACTATTACTACTACTTCTATTACTACTTCTATTTCTACCACTACTACTACTTTTACTACTACTACTACTACTACTACTACGACTACTACTACTACTACTACTACTTCTACTACTACTACTACTACTACTACTACTACTACGACTGCTACTACGACAACCACTACTACGACTACAACTACCATTATTATTATTACTAATACGGAAAAGTACTATATCACATTCGAACGATATCAACAACATTCACTACTACGATTATTCGTCCGATTACTTCCATTAGCACGACTACGATTGCGACTACGACTACGATTCCGACGACGATTCCGGCTACAACCACTAATGCTATCACTATCGCGGCTACTATGACTAGTACTACTTCTACGACTAAAACACAATTGTACCTACTAGTAGTGCTACCACGACTGATACGACTACTACTACGACGACTGATCACTGTTTCTGACCAGTCTTCCAAAATGCACTCGCGGACCCGCGGCCCGCGAGCCTCCGGGCAAACAAACTTAAAGAGGACAATTGCCCGTCAATATCTGAGGTCGGGCAGCGTCGCAAAACACAGGTGGAGTAAGCAGGTATTTCCCTGCTGAATGACGAAGCGTCGAAAGTTCAACAACCACGCGGAGGAAGTTAATACATGTGAATGCACGTGCGGAGTAAGTTTTTGCCCCGTAATACATATAAGACTAAGAAGAAGCGGGGCGGGCGGGATCTGAAACCTAATCCGCCGCAGACGGATGCCATGATGTAGGATTCCACGGGGTGGGGGCCTCGTCGACGGGATGGTCAAAACCACGACTACGACTACAGCTGCGACTACGATTTCTACGACTACGACTGCTATGACTACTCCTACTACTATTTCCTTGCGCTTGCTACGACGAGTTCTATTGTTACTGCGCCTACGGCTACGACCACGATTATTCATTCTTCGATTGATACCACCACTACTACCACTATGACTACTACTAGTACGACGACAACGGCTACCACTACTACTGCGACTACTCCTACTTCTAAGAGTAGTGCTACAATTACTATTACTGCGGCTACGTCTACCACGATTACTGCTACCAGGACTACTTCGACCACTGTTACAAGTATCGCTACTACTACTACTACTACTGCTAGTGCTACTCCTACTTTTACGACTACGGCGACGACGACAACTATTACTACGAGCGGGACGACTGCTACTGTTACTATTACTACTACTACTACCACTACCACTACTACTACTACTACTACTACTACTACTACTACTACTACTACGACTACGACTACTACTACTACTACTACTACTACTACTACTACTACTACTACTACGACGACTTCTACTACCCTTACTACTACTATTATTACTGCTGCTACAACTACTACTACCACTACTGCTACTACTACTACTACTACTACTACGACTACTAATTCGACTCGTGCTACTATTTCGGCGACTACTACGGCTACTGCTACTACCATTCATCCCACCACTACTGCTACTAGTAGTACGACCGTTACTATGATTGCTACTTTTACTTTCTAATACCACTATTTTTGCGACGACGACTAATACTACGACTGCTGCTATTATCATTGCGATTACTAGTGCAACTACTACGACTACTGCGACGGCAAGTACGGTTACAATTTAAGACTACTGCTGCGTGCAACGACTATCAATGGTATCACTACTACTACCCCTTCTTCTTCTTCTACCACTACTACTACTAGTTCTGCTACTACTACTACTACTACTACTACTACTTCTGCTGCTACTACTACTACTACTACTACTACTACTACGGCTACTGCTACGACTACTACTACTACTACTACTACTTGTATCAGTTGTACTACTTCTGCTGCTACTAGTACCACCACTATCATCACTGCTGCTACTGCTAGTACTAGTACTACTACAGCTACTACTTCTAAGACTTCTACAACAACTCGCATATCTATCCCTACTACTACCACTACTACTGCTACGAACGACTGCTACTACTGGCACGAGTACTACGACTACTACTACGATTACTACTACTACTACTACTACTACTACTACTACCACGTCTACTACGACTACGGGTGCGACTGCGGCTACTACTACTACTACTACTACTACTACGACTACCACTGCTGCTACGATTGCAATTGTTATTACTACTTGTTTTAACTACTACTAGTACTCATAAGAGCATTACTACTATTGTTTTACTAGCAGTACCATCACTACCACTACTACTATTACTACTACTACTACTACTACTACTACTACTTTTACTACTACTACTTTTACTTTTACCACTACTACTACTACTACTACTACTACTACTACTACTACTACTACTCTACTACTACTACTACTACTACTACTACTACTACTACTACTGCTACTACTACTACTACTACTACTTCTTCTACTTCTACTACTACTACTACTACTACTACTACTACCACTACTACTACGACTACGACTACTACTACTACTACTACTACTACTACTACTACTACGACTACTACTACTACTACTACTACTACTACCACTACGACTACCAGTATGATGCTGTACGAAATTCACTACCACTGCGACTTCTTCTGCGGATTTGTCTGGGGCGGGAATCATTTTGTCGGTTTTCCCAAGTGCTAAGATAACACTTCGCGCGGGGCGTGTACGACACCCTGGGATGGACCGCCCCCTAAGACGGCCGATGTAATTATCTCTTGTGGATTGCAATGAGAATCGCAAGGGAAGGGGCGGCGAGGAGAAAGAGAAAGGGAAGAAGGAGGGAGTGAGGTTTTCATTGGCCATCCCTTAGGGTGTTGACAGTTCGCCATGTTTGGCGTTCACGGCTCTTGCGGTCTGACCGCCGGTCCTTACTAGTAAAAGACGTCGATCGCAGGGAGGCAGGGAATAATACAATATTTTTGCGGCTCGGTGCGGTGCTAACGATATCGTTGTGCTAATTGTCCCTGCGAAGTATTTATTGTCATTTCGGTGCTAACGAACGACCGGGGGCGTTTCTTAATTGCTTCCTGGGGCCTAGAAGCTGTGCGCCCCGTCTTCTCGAGGGGCTCGCCCCCGGAGGGGCCTGCCGCACGCGGCTGTCAGGTCCCGTGCCCCCGCCAGGCGTGGCTGTTGCACAGGCCGGGCCCCCTCGAGTACAAGTGCGAGCTGTGTGGCCACGCGCTCGCGTGCCACCTGAGGCAAGCCCGGGTCTGGCCCGCAGTGCCCGAGCAATGCGGGGGGACGAGGGGGGCTGTGGAGGAGGTGGAGTACGAGGAGGAAGAAGAGGGGGGACTGGCTGGAGAAAGATGGAGGAATGATCATGAGGGGGGAGGGAGGATGAGGAGGATGATAGCAGGAGGAACGAGGGCCGAGGAGGGATAGGAAGAACGAGGATGAGGAGGAGGATCGGGACGGTGGAGGAGGACGACAAGGACAAGGGACGAGTGGAGATTGGACAGGAGTGTGGTATAAAGGGGCGTGGTGCCAATGCTGAAAAAATCGACGCTATCCACGATAGCCTCAAGTGCGTTACATCCCGATATCAGCAGTGTTGGCTTTGCGCGGAGCGGACCGCCCCAAGCGACGTCAGAATTCCGGATTCCCCGAACTACTGCAGTTCTTCGCTCACAGCAACAGAAACATGTATTCCAGGACGCCCGATCACCACGCACGTAGGTTCGGAAAGTCCGAAAAGCGTGATTCCAGAACCTCGGTGTTGCCTCGGTGGTGCCCCCCCCGACGGGGGTCAACCTCGCCTCGTCGTCGCGCCACGACGGGTGTCGGAACGCCTCCGGCGCGCGGTGGCTGCCCGCGACGGGGGTCAACGTGGGGCTGTCGGCGGGGGTGACGCCCCCCCCCGACGTTTATTAAGAAACTCGGAGCAGTTCCAGAAAATTCGTAAGCCACACATAGTTTTGTGCCCATACAAACCATAGTTCAGGAAAGTCCGAAACGCATGTTCCAGAAAAGTCCAGAATAACCAAAGGAATGTTGGACGTTCCGGAATCGAGTGTTAGGCGATGGGGGGCTTTGCAATGTTTTTTTATGCCGCCGTTCAGATTAGATGGCGGTCGCTTGAGAAGTTCGAATGATATGTTGTGACGCTGTTTGAAGCGGTCGGCGCAAAACCAACCTTGAATTCTGAATACAACGCACTTGTGGCTATCGTAGATAGCGTCGCAAGTTGGATAGCATCACAACGTTCACCGTTGGCACCACACCCCAGAGGGTAGACGAGGGAGGAGGGACGAGGTAGGAGATTGCTTGAGACTGGGAGTAGCTACAAAACTGAGGATGAGGAGGATGAAAGGGGCATTGATTTTATTCATCAGTCCCTCGCCAGAGCTTGCCTGTAAGAGTTCAATGCACGTCATACATGTTTCAAAGAAGTAGTCGGCTGTTCGTGTTCCCCTTCTTGGGCCCTTTTTGGGATTGTCTTTGTGGGTCTCTTGGTCCGTCTTGGGGCGGTCCTGTGCGCCTATTGGGCCGTCTGGGAGCGTCGTGAGCTCGAAACGTCGAGGAGCCCAAAAGTATTGAAAAACGATTTTGGCCTCTCGGAGCCCTCTTGGGAAGACTCTTGCGGCGTATTGGAGGCCTCCTGGGCCGTCTTCGGACCATCTTGGGCAAATTGGTGCGATCGTTCAGCGACTCGGGGCCCTCTTGGACCGTCTTGGGGCCTCTTGGGGCCATCTTGGCTCGCCTTGGGCCCTTCTTGGGCCCGAAATGTCGCGCGAAAAGCCCCCGACAAGACGCGCCAAGCCCCGCCAACTTTGACAATTTGGTTTCCGGGCCCTTCCAGGAGTGAAGATTGAGGCTTAGAGGATTCGGCAAAGGACCTGAGGACACGCCCACTCCGTGCACAGCGGTACGGTGGCGGATTTGGGGTTGATGCGCTGCGTATGGTCTCCAAAAGGTGCGTTGAAGTCCACGCAGGGCAGGAGGCGGACAACGAAGAGGACCACGATGACGACAAATGACGCAGAGGAGGAGGAGGAGGAGCAAGAGGAGGATAACGGGGAGGAGGGGCCGAGGGAAGACGAGGAGGAGGGAGGATGGTTGAGGGAGCCGAGTGGTGCACGGAGGAGGGGCCGCAGTGGGAGGGAGGAGAGAAGAGGGAAGAAGAGGGAGGAGGAGGAGGAGGAGGAGGAGGAGGAGGAGGAGGAGGAGGAGGAGGAGGAGGAGGAGGAGTAAGAGGAGGGGGTCGGGGAGTGAGTGTGGAAGAAGTGGGCATGTAGGGAGAAGAGAAGGAGAAGATAAGAGCGAGCAGGATGAACGAGGAGGAGGACAGAGAAGAAGGATGGGGGGAGGACGAGGGTGCAGATAAAAAGGGAGGATAAAGGGTTAAAGGAGAAGGAGAAGGAGGAGGTTTGAGGACGACGAAGGGAAGAGGATGATGAAGGAAAAGGGAAGAGGGTTGGGGGAGCGGGTTGGAAATGAGGACGGTTGAGGAGGGAGGAGCATAGGCAATAATACAACTAAGCATAATCATCATATTGACAGTAAGACGCTCTTGCGGTCGGTTGCGGGCTGCGCTGAGAGAGCATCACGCAAAAGAGAAGTTTGGCGCATGCAAGTAGACGCTGCATCGGGGCCGCCTTCGACAGCCTTGCAGGGACACCTCTGGCAAATACCGAAACCCTCAAGTAGTGAAAACCTGGAGGGCTCGCTTGGGCACTACATCTGCCTGACTGGGCAAGCAAGCAATAGTACAAATGATTGAAGATAACCCGATTGAAGTCCGATCAGCTGCAATTTCAAGCGTGCCCCTGTCGATTGTGGCTCAATCGGGAAAAATCAGTCACTAATCAGTGGACGCCGACACTCGTGCAACATCGCCACCAGAGGCTTCCACAGCAAAAGCGCGAGCGTGCACCAGTCGTCTGTAGGCAGAAGAGTCTGCAGCTGCGCATCAAAAACGAGGGGCATGGAGCGAACATCAGACGAGCGGGAGGCCAGATCGAGCAGCCAGGGCGTCTGCTCGATGGGGAGGGGCGTAGAGGGCATGGAATGCTTGACAAGCGGAGGTGACATATCTGAGGATGGGCCGAGTGCTCCGGGCCTGCAACGATCTCAGGCCCAGGTCGAGAAGCAATCCATCACGAGCCATGTTGACCTTTCTCTCTGAGTCGCTGATCTGGGTCAGACTAGGTATCGATTATCCAGCGTGTCCTCGTGATGATCGCGGAGTTGCTCTTGAGTGCAAGGGCCTTGCGGCCAGAGCTGACGACTCTGGAGGGGGACGACGACGACGAATGAGTTTATGTTGATTTGCTTTCTTCATATCGATATTCCCCATTAGCCGCTTCGCCTTCCTCTCGAGTCCACCCTTCGGTGGACCACCTGGCTATCGCACATGGACTTTTGAACAGTGCCCACGGCCTTTGCGATCCACTGAATTTGAGATGCCTGGAGCTTCGCCGACTGCACGAACTAGTGTTAGCACTTGCTAGGCGTCTCGCCCGTCTTCTTCTTGTGGTACGGTCAGGAACTTTGGGTAAGCGTGTCGCTCCGCCAGTTCTGGCCCACCACGCTTCGGCACGACACGCCATCCACTCCCCGGCCCCCAGCGTCAACATCCCGAGCGTTTCTTAGCCTCCTGCCCCGCGGAGCGGAGCTACACGCTAGTCCGTTTGCAAAGCGTAGCGTGTCGCCGGGGTTGTTGTCGTGATAAGTGTTTGATTGTATGTGGGCCGTTGACGACAGTATCGCACTTGGTGCTGTAAAGTTTGGAGGCCGTTGTGAGGGTTCAGTCGCGTCGGCATCCCAGTAAATCTGGGAGGCCCCCTTGCACTTGGCTAGAGTCTGATCGTGTATCAGTAGGGCTAGGACCAGTGCCATCCACTCGTGAGGCCACGGAGATCCGTAGCCGTGATCCTTGCCCGCCTCTTTGCACAGCTGGGAGCGCTGCTGACCTGCTTCCTGAATGCTCTTCACGATGGCGTACTTTGCGGGTATGAGGAAACAGCTGAATGAGGCGCCAAGGAGATCGACCACGTCGCGACTGTGTGCGAGGCAGAGTCGCGTGAGACCTTGCACCAGTGCCTTCGTAGGTCAGAGCTGCTGGCTGAACATGACCTGCCCTTTCTTCTACTTGATGACCGTGGACGGTCTTCTAGGGAGGCCGACACCTGCGTACAGTAGTGGGCGCCACCGCTGTTCGTGACCGCTTGCCCGAGGGAGGGCCCACGACGGGAGAGTTGGTCCTACCGTCTTGTGTTGCTGCTGCTGCGGTGCCGCTTGTGCCGCCGCCGCCACCAGAGGTGAAGTTGCTCCCGCTGCCGACGATGCTGCGCTAGTGCCGAAATCACCCATCATGAACGGTATGCAGTTCGGATAAGTGCTCATTGTAGTGCTGGTGAAGTTGAGGTCGATCGAGCCCCGCGTTGTTACAGAGTGCGCAAGTGTAGATACTGGTGTCCTCCTCACCAGCAGTTCGTAAGATGTTGGAACGACCCTGGGCCCAGATCCAACACGTTCTTGTCAATGAAGCTTCTTGCTCCAAGCATTACCCAATGACAAACAGTCCTCACCAGTAGCAAGACGCCCCCACCTACTCTGTCGCCCGCGATGCTGGTGTGTATGAATAGTGAGGTGGCGTCTTGTGGAGAACATTCTGCCACAGCCTGCGATAACACATCGATACTTACACATCAGATTCAGCATCCTCATCATCGTCATCATCACCAGCACCACCATCAACATCATCATCGTATCATCATAATTATCAGCACCATCGTCATCATCATCATCAGCATCAGCATCAGCATCAGCATCATCATCATCATCATCATCATCATCATCATCATCATCATCATCATCATCATCATCATCATCATCATCATCATCATCATCATCATCATCATCATCATCATCATCATCATCATCATCATCATCATCATCATCATCATCATCATCATCCGCATCATCATTATCATCATCATTCTGATAAACTATGGGATCATGTTCTGGGGCGACGTCGGGTGCACCTGGCACATGGAAATCAGGGAACGGGCACTTGCAGCCCGCAGCTGCGGCATGTCAAGACGGCCGAACCAGTCAGGCAACTCAGGGTCATCAAGCAGCAGAGGTGGGCGATGCCCCCAGTCTTCGATTTTGTCTGGGTGCTCCCCCAGCTGGTGCAGGCTGGCAATCTCCTCAGCGACGCGGTGTGCCCACGGAGAAGCACGACCTCTGTGAC